TAATCTAATTCAAATCTAATTATTGTTTTATACAAGCAAAATAAAAAATTTCTTTCTAATTTCTAAAAATTCCCAAACAAGTCTTAATTTAAGAGCTACACCTGTATAGCCTCTTACAAATACGTTTAAAAATCTGTAAAAAATAGTGGCGTAGCGTAGAAGATTTATCCAAAAGGAAGCATTTTGAGTTCTTCGTTTGAAAATAGCGACATCTAGTGTACCTGACCCGTCAGAGCGGCAACAATCAGTTGAGTTGCTGTACATTAATCGCATAATATACATAAATTGCTTAGTAACGGTCTGGGGAATTCTGATTATAATATCAGGGTCGCTCAGGTCATTTAAATATTTTTATTTATATACATAATATAGTAATTTTATCACTAGAGAGATAAATTTATTCGGAAGGAAAATTATTCTAAGATCTAATTTTTCCAATAATTTTTAATTCTGTGATAAATGAAATTTTTATATAGTTGGTAATATCGGTCAACTTTTTAATTAAGCAGCAAAAGTCCAGAAAAAGTTAGCACGTAGATATTTATCGTAGTAAGATCTAGGAATGAGATTTTTTTCTACGAGTTATTTGTTGTCCTTCATGTAAATAATTGTAAAATTTGTTTAGGGTTTAGAGAAGAACCAAGTAAAGCTAAGTTAATATCATGTGAAAAGGGAACATGTATGTTTGAGAGGCTGCATGCTGATTTTCTGGGTCTCATAAGAAATAAAATGATTTTGATAATCATTGATACTTTTACAAAATGGCCATAAGCATTTATTACGAATAATTTGACCACTGGGGAGACTATTGAAAAATTTAGAGATTGTATTGCTCAGTTTGGTTTACCTAAAGTAGTCGTGATAGATAATGGCCCTCAATTTTCATCAGGTAAATTTTCACAGTTTTCACATAATAATGGTATTAAACACTTTACATCATCACCATATAATCCAGCAACAAATAGGGTTGCAGAGAATTTTGTTAAGACATTTAAAAATGCTGCTTTGAAAGAATTGAAGGATGATTACAACTGTAATAATTCTTTACAATTATAATCAGTAAGTTATTGTTCCATTATATAAATTCAGTACACTGTACTACAGGTGTATCATCCTCTAGTTTTGTATTTAAACATAAAGTTAAAATTCGATTAGATTTGTTATGGACATGTAGTGGGAATCAGAGTTCTAAATACAAAAATTAGATAAAAAATTTAGGTGACAGGATATATTTGTGTATGTTAACATAGCAAGGTTTAGTTTGGAAAAGACATTTAGACCAGATTTTGCGAGATAAAGGATCTGATTCTAACTACGATAGTCTTAATGAAACCATTGTATCTGATATAACTAATAATAATAATACAATTAGTCTTCTTCTTCTTCAGCCTTCATTTATCCAATGTTGGACATAGGCCTCCTCCAATTGCTTCCACGCTTCCCTATCTTTTGCAATTCTCATCCACTGCTTTCCAGCTACAGCAGTTATATCGTCTATCCATCTCTTTTTAGGTCTTCCCACGCTTCTTTTTGTTTCTCGAGGTCTCCAGAATGTCACTTTATGAGACCATCTGTTGGTGTCTTGTCTTGCTACATGTGCTACCCATTGCCATCTCAATGTCGCTATTTTTCCCATGATGTCGGTTACTTTAGTTCTTCGACGTATTTCGGTGTTAGGAATTTTGTCTCTGAGGCTTATATTTAACATGGCCCTCTCCATGGCCCGTTGAGTTACTCTTAATTGTTCTGCCATTTTTCTTGTTATTGCCATAGTTTCCAATCCATAAGTTGCAACTGGTAGTATACAAGTGTCATAGGTTTTTCGTTTTAAGTGAATTGGGATTTTTCTGTCTTTTAAAATGAAGCTCAACTTACCAAAAGCAGCCCATGACAATTGTGTCCTTCTTTTAATTTCTATGGTTTGATTTTCCTTTTCGTTTTTAGTTGCATGTCCTAGATATACATATTGTTCTACCTTTTCTATATTGATGTTATCTATCGTGATGTTTTCTAGGCTGTTGCTTAATATCTTTGTTTTGTCGAGATTCATTTTTAATCCTATTTGATTCGATTTGTGATTTAAATCTTGTAGCATTGATTTTAGTTCATGGATATCTGTGCTTATTAGTACTATGTCGTCTGCAAAACGCAAATGGTTAAGATATACTCCATCTATTTTTAATACCTTTTCGGCCCAATTTAGTTTTTTGAAAACATTTTTTAATGCCAAAGTAAATAACTTGGGTGAGATGGTGTCGCTCTGTCTCACACCTTTGCCAAGGTCTATTTTCATAGTTTTCAGATCATCATCTATTTTTACGTGAAAAGTAGCATATCGTATATATTCTAAGGAGGGCAGCATATCTTGAATCTATCTGGCGTCGTCCAATGCTGTTAAGAAAGCCCATTTCTCGATACTGTCGAATGCTTTGTGATAATCGAAAAATGCCAGATGTAGTGGTATGTTGTACTCTATTGTTTTTTCAATAACTGTCCGAATTGTTTGCAAGTGATCGATAGTGCTAAAACCCTTACGAAAGCCTGCTTGCTCCACTGGTTGGTATGCATCTAGTTTAGCTGTCAATCTATTTGTTATTATTCGGGTTAGTAGTTTGTAAAGGTGTGACAATAAGCTTATTGGTCGGTAGTTTTCTATATTTGCGGCATCCCCTTTTTTATGGAGTAGAATGACTTCCGCATTTTTCCATGCCTTTGTCTTTTTCAAGCCTTATTTGTCCTTCCAATAGGCATTTATTCAGTAATGCTCTTATTGCCTCTTCTAATACAGTGCCTCCCATTTTTAGCATCTCTGAAGTAATTTTATCTTCTCCTGGTGTTTTCCCATTTTTCATTTGTTTTAGGGCGGCTCTAATTTCTGATGTTATTATTTCAGGGAAGTCCTCTGAGCCCACATTTAAGATATGTTTTGTTGGTATACCGGGGTTCGGAATAGTAGAAGTATACAGCTTCTCATAAAATTTTCGGATTTCTCTAACGATCTCTTCCTTATGCGAGCACACTGTTCCACGGTCGTCTTTTATCTTTATGATTTTATTCCTGCCAGTGGATTTACATGTTTTTAGTACTTTCATGTTCTTATTGTTTTCTATGGTTTCAAGAATCTGGTTTGTTCTATAAGCTCTGAGGTCTTTTCGAATATTTTTCTTAACGCTTCTGTTGAGCGCTTTATAGTCCGGGTTATCTCTGTTCGTTCTTCTTCTTTTCTCTATCTGTTCTAGAGTTTCGGGTTTTAGTTTAGCTTCCTTTTGTTTTCTTATTCTGCAACAAAGTTTCTTAGTGACTGTTTGTATGTCTTTAGTTATTTTCTCAGCTAGTTCATCTATATTCTTGTGCTCAAAGGTATTTGCTACTAGTTTCCGTGCTAATTCCTCTTTGTATTTCTCTTTATTACTGGCTAGGATGTCTGCCGTCGGTAAAGGGTTTGTTGTTAATAGTTTTCGTCTTTCTCTCTTTACGTTAATACGTATATCAGCACGAACTAGTCTATGGTCACTGCCGGTGTTAAATTTGTTCAACACCTCGATGTTTTTACATATTGATCTATCACTGGAAAGGATAAATTCTATTTCATTCTTAACCTGACCGTCAGGGCTACGCCATGTCCACTTTCTTTGTATTTGTTTTTTATAGAACGTGTTCAGGCAAAACATTTTTTCGGTGCTTACGTAATTTGCTAATGTCTCTCTTGCTAAATCTACAATTAGTACCAGTGAAAGTGATATTGAAGCGAGAAATTTTGAAGAGTCTAGTAATGAAGTAGCAAGTGAAGCAGTGGTTAGTGAGGTTAATGAGAAACCAGCGACCAAAGAAATTGTGATATCAGAGCAGTTCCAAGTAGGCCAAAAAGAAATGTAAAACACCTAACGATAATACCAATATGGCGGTGACATCAGGGCCAGACTCAATAATATTATGTTATAATACATATTATATATACAAATATGACTAGTTATTCAGAAGATTTAATCATGACTAAAAAAGTGCAATACATTTTAAATAAACTATGATTTATTTTTCCCGCGGTAAACACTAAAAATACGAACATAAAGGTAAATTAATACAGTCAAATACTATTAATTTATTCTCTGAAGTACGGGCCATTACTTTGTTTACATATTTGTATACTAACCTGTGGAACGATATTCCTGAAGATTTTTTATTAACATTGCTTCTGCTACTGCAACTACGTTGAGAACAAGAAACCATTATTATGCACTATCACAATATATTACATTTTCTATAAAAGTATTATAAAACTGAAAATATTTGAAAAACAACAAATGTAAACAAACATATACGATCTGTCAAAAGTTTCAAAACAATATTAACAATATGGCCGAAGTGAGGTCGTTTTTAGTCACGTGATGCCCTCTCTATTGATTCTAACTCGATGGTTTAAACGTATATTGAAGGGAGGGGGTATTGCAGTATATTATAGCAGGTATAGAGAAAAAGGAAGAAAGTAAAACAACACATATAATGTCAATTGTCTAAAAAAAGATTTTCATTTATAGTTGTATAAAATTATGTTTAATCATTTATATTCTTCCTCCACATCACGCTAATGTCCACATCATTAATAAACTTTATCTCAAGCCGACACTGGACAAACCGTTGTAAGAAATACAAACAACTTATAAGATATAAATATCAGAAAATATTATAATTGGGTTATTGCCGGTTAGTAACAATGATGTCGAAACTGTTGTTTTTGGTGATAGCGACATTATTTGTTGCCTACGTGAAAAGTGAAATAACGGTAAATGTTTACACTAATCTTTGGGACTACAAATTAGAGAAAGCAGTTATTCCTTCCATAGATAATTTAAAAAGTGTTATTACGAATGTGACGTACCGAATAGAAATTGAAAACCAAACTATTCTTGAGTTACCTAGTAAAGTGTTAGAAGGTGTAACTCTCGATGAACTCAAACTAAACGCATGACCAGTTGAAAGACATCAAGTCTGGTGCGTTGCAGGGAGCCGAGATCAAAAGGATTAAGTTAGATCACAATAACATTCAAACTATAAAAAAGGGTGTATTTAATGACAGGTCATTGTGGGGTCTTGACCTATCTAATAACCAAATTTTCAACATCGAGGATGCAGCTTTCGACAACTTGGATGTTAATTCTCTACGCCTGAACGACAACAATCTTGAAACAATTACAGCAGGTATATTTCATAATACTAAAGTTACACTATTAGATTTGACAAATAACAAAATACAAAAAATTGAAGTTAATGCTTTAAACCAGATACCCAGCTTATTTTACATTGAACTGAATAACAACCTTATTAAAGATCTTGGAGGAAGTTTCTCCAATTTGGATACTGTAATTCGGCTTAATTTGGCCAACAATAAAATTGAAGCTCTTGAACCAAATAATTTTGCTGGCTCCAAGCTAAATTCATTATATCTTCAAGACAACTATATAAAAGAGATAAAAGCAAACTCTTTTAATGGCTTAAATTTAAAGTCTTTAAATCTTAGTAACAATCAAATTTCTTCAATTAACATTGATGCTTTCGCTGATCAGCCTGAGCTTCACTCGATTATTCTCTCGCATAATAATATTGGAGACTTGAAGTCAAAATTCCTTAGATGTATCAATTCTAAACAATCAACTTTGTCTTTGGATAATAACAATATTGTTAATATAGAGCGTGGAGCATTTAACGAAATTGTGGTCAAAGAATTGAAATTACAAGAAAATAAAATTGAAGTTGTTAAGAAAGGAGTTTTTAATAACAAGAATTACAACGTCCTCAATTTGGAGAAAAACAAGATCTCAAAAATTGAAAATAGCGCATTTGACAATTCAGTAATAAATACTCTTATACTTTCTGAAAATCAACTGAGTACACTTATAGGTTATATGTTCGTTGGAGCTAATATAAGTATCGTTAATTTAGATAACAATCAAATTAAGGAAATTGAAGGTTTTACTTTCGTTCAAATTTATGGTTTGAATACTCTGGATCTCAGCAATAACCAAATTGATAACATTACAAACCTATTTAACTATTTGGAGCATTTAACCGATCTGAATTTGGACAACAACTTAATTAAGGTACTTAATCCAAACAGCTTTGCAGGTTCCAAAATATCTACTCTTTCTATTAAAAACAATCAGTTATTAAAAATCAGTAAGGGGTTTTCAATGGTCTTCCATTTAAATCTATCTCTCTTATTGGTAACTTAATCTCTAAAATCGAAGATGGCAGTTTTACTGATACAGAAGAACTTCGTACTTTAAAACTTGGAAGCAACAAAATTGGCGATTTAACTGCTACTTCTTTGGGAACACTAAACAACAAAGAATTAGAATTAAGTATTGACGACAACAGTATTTCTAATATAGAACCTCATTCGTTCAGCAAAGTTACATTACTTTCATTAAAACTTCACAATAACTCCTTAACGGCTATTAAAAGAGATACATTTAAGGGCGCAGAAATCGGTTTCATTAGTTTGGCCAAAAACCAGATTTCTAGCGTAGAAGAAAACGCTTTTGAAGATGTTAAGGGACTGGATTTAATTGATTTAAGCTTTAACAAACTACAAGTGTCAGTTAGTTCCAATTCAAAACAAATCAATTTTGTTGTGAATCGTGGAGCTGACTTAAGTAAATACAGTAGTGAAACTTTGGGCAAATTGATTCAGGCGACATTCGACAGTCAAGTCGAGTTTTAAGTACAAAAAACTTATGAATTTAAGACTGATTGTATCTTAATCATTTAAACATTTCTATTGTAAAAATCGTAGTATTCTTAAATTGTTAGATATTAATTTTACTGTCAATAAACTTTTATAATACTGCCAAAACAATGTCAATAGACTTTTCTTTTATTATGTATTTAGAAATATGTTCGTTTTTCTGATTTTCATTAAAAATTGTTGATATTTAAATAGTAAACATCTGTTATTTAATTATTATATAATTATTTCATAGATATTAGTAGCTATAGTAATTTGTAACCTGTCTATCAGTTTAAAAATAATATGTTTTTGTTTTCATATTAAATAAAAGTAACATTATCAAACGTTTTGTACATTTTTTGAACGCATATACAATTTTTTAGCACATCAAGAATCCAATTTTTATTTATGTTTTTTTTATTTATAGTTTTAGTCACATTAACTATGAGTGGATATTATTACATTCTCTCTTTTCTTGTCTCTGTCAACCATTTTCCATCCACTCCTGAGTGTAGGTCTCTCCCAATTGCTTCCATCTTTCTCTATCTTGCGCCAATCTACTCCACTGTTTACCTGCCACTGCTCTTATATCATCTACCTATCTTTTTTGAGGTCTTCCCATGCTTCTTGTTTCGTTCTTAGTCTCCATCTAGAATTCTGTGTCACCTATTGTCATTATATCGGGCTACGTGACCTGCCCAGCGTCATTTCATTTTGTAATTTTTTCCACAATATCCTTAATCTTCGTTCTACGTCTTATCTCGGTGTTTCTAACCTTGTCTTTTAGTGATATTCCAAGCACGATTCGTTCCATTGCTCTTTGCGTTGTTTCCAATTTTTTAGCAGATTTTTTGGTAAGGGTTATTGTTCCAAGCCGTAGGTACACATGTGTTATACACCTTTTTCTTTAAGCTTACAGGAATGGAGGTGTTTTTCAAGATATATGCTAGTTTGCCGAAAGCTCCAGATGCCAGTTGTGTTCTTCTTTTAATTTCAGCGATCTGATTTGATTTTCCTAGTTTGATGACATGACCTAGATATACATAAGGTTCAACATTTTCTATGGTATGATTTTGTATTGTTATATATATCTGGTCTCGGCTCAGTATTTTTGTTTTACTGTAGTTCATTTTTAAGTCTACTGCTCCTGAAACTGCATTTAGTTGTTGTGACATAACTTTGGTAATTTAAAGAATATATTTGTAATAATCATGTTCTGCTCTTCACAGAATTGTAACAGACAGTCTCTTCTCTCGTTTGGATTTGTTTATTAGGTTGAACGGATTACGGCTTCGTCTTAATAACTATACTATCGATTGATTTAAAAGATACCAGATTACATGGTAACAACTTAAATCTGGAAATTCTTCTTCTTCTTTTTCCTCTTTATGAGCAATTTTACTTGTTCATTGGCTGATTACTACCTCTATGGAAGGTTGTCACTCGCATCTTGGTGACTTATCTGTAGCTGTTTTGACGACACGGTTTTCCCTCATTCTCCTTATGTCGTTATGTCTACTTGGTGACTACATTTAAAGTTGTATCTAAGGGCACATAAACACAATCTATTGTTTTCCGCAGTCCTAAAGCTTCGTCAGGTATCATACGCAATCGCGTTGATCAAACACCCCTGTATTAGATGGGAGAAAGGCTCGTTACCAGCCCGACAGCTTCCTACTTGGGCGTTTTATTCACTAAAATGCTTAATTGGAACGTTGATCTAAAGGCAACTTTAGATAGGATCAGAAACCGAGACCCGTCTCCTAGTACCACTTTCAGGGACTTTCGGTAAAACTAATAACAAAACTCTCATTCACACTTATAAAACCTTCATTCGACCCGTAATTGAGTATAAGGCACACTTATATTGCCTTCTTAAGGGTTATCAAAGGATAAATCTGATCTCTGCGGAGCGCAGAATTTTGCGTAAAACGTGCAGAAAACGTTGGTACTTCCCTTCCCGTGAAATCCATCAAACGGCCAACACCATCCCTATTGTCGAGAGAATAAAAACTCTCAACAGGAACTTTACCCTCAGGACTATCAATGGCCCCCCTTCTAACACCCAAAACACTCTAAAAAGTTCCTGTTCTTTCAAAGGCCATGTATCCTTTCGGAAACCCAAAGATAAATATATACACATCTCATCTATTCTGATTCAAACATGCATCGATGAACTTCGCAGAATACGACATTCTTGAGCCACTCATTGCCTATCGCGCACCTAGTCTGCCTATCCTTCCTACCCCGGACAGGGGGAGATTGGTTTTTAGCGGTTTCCCAATCTCGCTACTCAACGATACCTGTCTGTCACTGAAAAAATAGCCGCAACTATTTTCCAGCAGTTACTGGAACCATCTATCGAACTCCGACGAGGTCTGGCCGTTAGCGGGAGCAATCAATAACAGAATTTTAGTGCAATACACTAGTTCTGTGTTGATTGCGAGCGCATAAACGGCTGCAGGAACAATGGTCACTAGAGAACACGGTTTTAGTTGCTGCCGAGTCAGACTCTCACACATTCAAACTAAACACAAATTCACACAACACTCTCACACAAATCCAACAGTGAAAGGGGTCCTCTTTCTGCTACCGATGCATCCTCATCACCGGGACCCCCGACCGCCTGCAGCCTCCGTTACTTTACACGGGTCTGTGGTCGGCCGGGGAAAATCTAAGTGATTCGACGGAGCCAGTAACATCGAAATGGTAGCGTCCGTCACTGTTGGATTTACACACACACACACACACACACACACACACACATCACACACATCACACACACACATTCACACTGAGCAAAATGCGGCAAGCCGACTCTCGAAAGCCGAGGCGCCTCCACTCACGAGCACACTCGTTTACGAAATTTCAGTGCAATACACTGGTTTCGGGGCCGAGTTAAGCTGGAGACTGCACAGGACCAATGGTCACTAGAGACCAGGCCTTGTCGCATCTAGCTCTAAAATACACACGATCAAACTGGAAAGAACATCTACTCCAGTCAAGCCTTTCTCTCTGGTTCTCTGGTTCTCTGACTGTCGACTCTAAAAACTCCTCCAGGCGAAGAACAGGTGAAGAACAACAGAAGAAGAAGAAGCTAACACACCGGTGATTTTTGGGTGTTTGCCTTTGTACTCCAATCCACAACATTCAAACTCAAGCCTGAAGAGGGTCAACCGACCCTAAACGGGTACAAAATGTATTCTCATCCTATCGTAATAAATAATCCTTATCCTATCCTCTTGAGAAAGAACATTTATTGATTGATTGATTGATAAGGGCACATTCGTAAATAAAATATTTATGTCTAAGTCTAGGTGGTATATTCGTTTTATAAACTTACGAACGAACTTATGAACGATAAAAAAATAAAGCAACTAAAGCATATTACTATTATAATAATTGTTTATAAAGGTTTATAATGAATATCATCCTTTTTGTTTTATAGATTTTCACTTTGTTAACGCTTTATCCCAATCTTGCATACTAGTTATCCGATTTAGTCAATTTTAAAAATAGTATTATTATAAAAATATTTATAAAAATGTCAATTTTCAAATTGATTTATTGTTTATTAATATTTATTGCTCATACATATATAATTTTGTACACAAATCAAACTTTTAAGATCTCTAACAAATCTTTTTTAGTTATTCAGAATATACGACCTTCACTTTTTTGTGCTAATATTTATTGTTTATTATTTATATTATTCTAGAAACACGTTAAGCACAAGTATTTATTTTTAGATTATGTAAAACTACTCTTAACCACAGACAATAGTTTACATAAGAATCATCAATTAAAAAAACAAAAAATCAAGTATCAAGCAATAGCACAGGTACTACTATTATATTATTACGCTCAAGATATTGCAAAATATAAAGAAATTAAATATAGCAAAATAAAATGTGAGGAAGGACCTGGAAGTTAACCAGTATAGTAGGAAATATCAGCTCTTAATCAGACGGCTTTTGTAGAAAGGAACCAATTCCAAAATTGTATATATATATATATTCGGTTTTATATAACGGTCTTACGACGTTGTCCGACTCCCAAACGCCACTGTATTCTGTCTTGAGTTAGGTCTTCGTCCAGATTTCGAGCGCTAATCGCTTTCCTAACTCCCAGGTTCCAGCTCTGTGGTGGTCTTCCTCGTTTCCTCTTCTCTGGGGGTTGCCACATCATCGTTTTTTTAGGCAATCTTTCGTCCCCCATTCGGCTCACATGCCCATACCATATGAGCTGTTTTCTCTCAATATCCTCAACTATAGTGCCCTCTATACCCATTTGTTGTTTTATCACTTCATTCCGTATTCTGTCGGCTCTTGATATTCTCATCGATCTTCTGATGGCATCCATTTCCGTGGCTTCGACCTTTTTCTTATATTTCTCGGTTATTCTCCATGTCTCAGCTCCATAAAGTAGGCTAGTTTTAACCATTGTCTCATAGATGTTCCATTTTCTTTTCTTTGATATTTCTTTACTCCATAGAACTCCGTTCAAACATGCTATAGCTTTTCGTGCTTGTACAATTCGATGTTCTATTTCTCGTTCGTCTTTTCCACTACCGTCGAAGATGACGCCCAGGTATTTATATTCGTTGCATGGATTTATTTTTTGATTGTCATCGATATCGAGTTGTTCTGCTTCAGCTCCAATTGAGAGGTATTTTGTCTTTTTTAAATTGATATTTAATCCCCATTTCTGGTATTCTTCAATTAGTTTTCTAAGCATGTATTCTATGTCATCTTTGTCATTTGAGATCACCACCTGATCATCTGCAAACTGTAAAGTACATATGTAATCCTGATCGTTCAATTGTACACCCATTCCTTTGACTTTCCTTTTCGATTTTTTCAGAGCTGCAGAGATATAAATCTTAAATAGAGTCGGAGAGATACAACATCCTTGTCTGAGACCCCTAGTAACTGCAAATTTTTCAGCTAAGAGGTTTCCGAATTTAATTTGGGACTTTGAACCATAATATCGAT